CAGGATATAAAGCGGCAATTTTGGTGGGCAGGTATGAAAAAAGACATTGTTATTTTTGTCTCTCGGTATAGTACTTGTCAGATGGTCAAGATCGATCATCAAAGGCCGCCAGGATCTCTACAGCCACTAGCTATACCAGAGTGGAAGTGGGAGAGCATTTCTATGGATTTTGTGGAGGGATTGCCTAATTCATTCAAAGATCACAATTCCATTTGGGTCATCATTGATAGGTTGACTAAATCAATTCATTTCTTGCCTATTCGCACTGACTTCACTTCGGAGCAATTAGCGAAACTTTATATTACAGAGGTTGTGAAGTTACATGGTATTCCGTTATCAATTATATCGGATAGGGATTCGATCTTTGTGTCAGGACTCTGGAAGAGTTTTCAGCAGGTTTTGGGTACAGAGTTGCATCTTGGCACTGCTTCTCATCCTCAGACAGATGGTCAGACCGAGAGGGTTAATCAGATTATAGAGGATATGCTTCGTTCTTGTGTTCTTGACTTCAAGGGCCACTGGGAGATTATTTGTCACTTGTGGAGTTCGCGTATAATAATAGCTTCCAGAAGACTATTGGTATGGCACCGTTTGAGGTATTGTACGGCCGACCATGTCGATCTCCTATTTGTTGGATGGAGGTTGGAAAGAGTAGGTTTTTGGATCCTGAGTTCATTAAGGATACTTTTGAGAAGATCTCTCTTATTCGGGATCGCATGCGCACTGCCCAGAGTAGGCAGAAGAGTTATGTCGATAGTCGTACTCGTGCATTGGAGTTTCAAGTTAGCAATCAGGTTTTACTCAAAGTGTCTCCTATGAAAGGAGTAATGCGTTTTGGGAAGAAAGGGAAGTTGTCACTGCGGTTTGTCGGCCCATTCATGATCACGGATCGAGTTGGCGCTGTAGCTTATCAATTAGCACTTCCGGATCATTTGGATCATGTGCACAATATTTTTCATTTTTCCATGTTGCGAAAATTTCTACGCGATGAGGATCGTTATCAGCATATCGATGTTGAGGAGATTGAGTTATAGCTGGATGCAACATATATGGAGCCACCATGTCGTATTGTTGTTCATCTGGATCAGATTTTTCGCAATAAGGTTATACCTTTAGTGCGGGTCCAATTGAGTTCCCATAATGAGGCCGAGTCTACTTGGGAACGGGAGGATGTCATTCGCTCACAATTTCCTAAAATAATGGAAGAATGTAAAAGCAAATTCCGAGGACGAAATTCCTTTTGTTAGGGGGGAAAATGTAATACCCCTAATTTTAAAATGATAGTCTCAGAATTTATTTATTTCTTTTATTTACATTTTTAATTTATTTAATTGATTAGTTGATGGTTTGTGTATGTGTTTAATTTATTTAAGTGGGTAACTGTAATTTGTTGGCTTATTTGAATTTAAATATTTTAATTGAATTATTTGTATTTACTTATGTGTATTATGTGTCGCTTAATTGTTAGGATTTAATTATTTTCTTTTTATTTAAAGGAGTTGGGTTATTGATGGTAGTAATGGACCACACTAAGAGGTCGCATGGACTACTTGGATAGGATTTTTAATGGGTACGGATATTAACCCATGGAGGGATGTATATATATAATGGTGATATATATATATATATAGAAATTTATATAATAATGAGTAATTATTATTATACTAGGATGGTAAGATGCATATATATAAGTATGAATTATATTTTAATTATATTTATAAATATATATTTATGTAGTCACGTACAGTAAATTATATATTTGTATTAGGTATTATTTTCCTTTTTATTTTATTTTTAATTCTCTCGTTAAGGACTTAGAGAATGGATAAGATTAGGGTTATTCTTATTTGCCTATATATATATATATATATATATATATATATGTGTGTGTGTGTGTGTGTGTGTGTGTGTGTGTGTGTGTCGGCCAAGGGTTAAAAGGACCCTATTCACGTATATAGAGAGGTTTGAAAGAATAACTGAGAGAGGGAGAATTAGGGTTTGGCTAAGAATAAGGGCTGAACCAAGGAGGGGTTATTGAAGCTTGCTCGTGGGTTAAACCAAGAACAACAGATGGTCTGTGAAGGCAACCAAAGTCGTTAAAATAATCAGAAAAGAATGTTTAAGGTTTCAAACTGAAACCTAAGGCAAGTTCTTTCTCTTACTCTTTCCCTTAGACCTGTGTTCTGTGCATGCCTAGGTAATCTCCAAGATTAATCGGACTTCAAATTAATCTTTTGTTCATGCTTATTCTAATCTAAAACAGGTTTATGTGAATTTAATTACAATTGATTGATCTTGAAGTATATGGCATGATTAATTATTTTTATTGTTGTTAATGATGCATAATTGATTTATATAAATTACTGGAATAATTCAGGACATAGTTCAAACTCTTAGAACCATCAACAATGGAGAACAGATGTATTGGAACTAGTCGAAGACGAGGAAGATGATGCAGAACAGGGTGAGAGTCGGCTCCCAAACGGGAATTATTTTGACGACTCTCAAGGAGAGAGAGCCAACTCCGTGGAGTTGAGAGCCTGCTTCCTCAAGACGAAAGTTTGCTCTCAAGTGGACAGAACTTACTCTCACGAGGACAGAGCTTGCTCTCAAGTGAATAGAGCTTGCTCTCACGAGGACAGAGCTTGCTCTCAAGTGAACAGAGCTTGCTCTCACAAAGACAGAGCTTGCTCCCACGAGGACAGAGCTTGCTCTCAAGTGGACAGAGCTTGCCCCCTAATTTGAGAGCATAGTCCATCGCTGCTACTTTAATATTTTGGGATTTTTGGCTACTGTTTTGAGGCTTTGGAGGTTCCAAGGCTATGTAGGTTATAATGGGTGATTTAAATGACTACAATGAGTATGTTAAATACCTAGAATGCATAATTAATAATTATATGCTATGGAACGATGAACAATGTGAAATTTTAATTAAATTTACATGTTGTTAATGGATATAGAAAATTTAATTATTAAATATTATTTTAGCAACTTAAATTACTGTGATATGATTTTTGAATCTTGTATTGGATGTATAATATGATCATGTTCATAGCTGATTTTATTATGCTTGTTACTGGGATTAAATTGGTGTTTTATTTTAATTATTTCATCAATTATTAGACTGTATGGATGTAATGCACCGGTATGGAACGGTGGCATTCTAGGGACAGATTAACCAAAAAACTTAAATCCTACCTATTTATTTATAAGGGAATGAATTAACTACAATGTTAATTTCTACTTATATTCAAATCAGGTCAACGAAAACAGTTGAATGACATATTGGATGTTTATATATATATATATATATATATATATATATATGAGCCATGATATGAGCTTGAGTCTCAAGATCATGGTTAGGATGCGTATATTGTCTAGGATGGATAACTGGATATAATAGACATTTGGGTGCCCTGGTAGGTCTAGGTACACATGCGTACTTTATGTGAAATTTGCATGTTACCTTCTATTCAGGTTGAGACAGACCTATAGTCCAGTGAGCGTCCTATAGTGTGTGTATATATATATTGATGGACTATTTAGTTATTATTGAGTTGTTTAGGATGTATCTGCGTATCGGGTCTCTATTTGGATTATAGTAGAGCAGAATTTGTTCGTGGGCCTGACCCACCATTATTTTTTAGGTGTTCGACAGTTCCAAGCTTAGAACTTGTTCATGCCGAGTAGAGACAGTCACTCACTCTTCCGACTACGTAAGACCTTGCTTCATGTTTTAGTTTTGGTTTTTCTTTCAGTTCAGTTATTTTATTTTCTAGTTAGGATATTATTAGGAGTCCACTAGATGGATTCCCGAGTTGTAGTATTATTGGAGGTTTTGAAAATATTGGATTATTCTATTAATATTTCGAGAATTTAATATTTAGTTTTCTTTCAGCTTGTTATTCTTTATTCTTTAAATTGTTGTTGTATTCTATACTTGTTTATATACTTAATTGTTTGGTATCCCTCGGATCTGTACTCGTACTTGATGACCCGTGACTCTAGAATTGAGAGGTATCACAAGTACCGCCTGTAATTACGTCTAACCTCAAGAGAGGTAAGTGAAATTATCCCTAACTTTGAGCTATAAAAGTACTTGGAACTAAAGTTAGTTGCAATTAGGTTTTAACATTTTGTGCGTAATTATGAATTGTGCGTGACATCCGAAATTGATCAGTGACCACCGTGACCTTGAGTGATGTATTTCTAGCAAAAGTTGAAATATTATACTAATTTTTTTAAAATTTCAAAATTGAAGTGTTTATTTAGTGCTTCCAAACACAAAATTATTAAAAACAAAAAACAGTGGTAAACAGATAACATCATTTGAAAATAATGAATAATCCCAATTCAGCATCCCCAATTCTGGGAGTGGGACGTACTGTGATTTTTTTGGCATATTGATGGAAAGAGCCCGCTACTCCACAACCAAAGAAAGACAGAGGCCTTGGGAAATAGTCTGCCATAGAAAGAGCCCGTTACTCCACAACCAAAGCATTGCCTATCTATTGGAAGGTTATTAAAGAGGAGATTGAAGTCATTCTGAACATGGTCATTGAAGAACACTTGAAATTCCAACGGGCAAGAAATGTGACCCCCCACTTGGTACTTTTGTTGTATGGCTTAATTCTATTATGTTCTTCACTGCATCGAAGGTGTTGGGTCCAACTGAGCACCCTAAATCAGCAATGGAAAATGAATTTCAAGTAGGAGAGTCTGCATGTTCTATGTCAAGGTTTTCACCAATTGCGGAGGCAAGCAAGTGTTTGGCACGATCAGCAGCTTCTTTCTATATGCGAAGATTAATATATATATATTTATACTTTTACTAGTAAGTTTAAAAGAATTGACGCATGAGATAAGAACAAAAGATCAACCAGGATCATAAAGCGAAAAATTCAAAATTTTAAAGATCAATTATATTGTCTACAGCATATATGAGAACCAACACTGCCAAAAATGAAATTGTTTTCAGACATTGTACCTGAGCATGGAAGAGATACTTATTCAAAACAAAGAACAACAATCAACAGATATATAAATAAAATCATTTCATAAATATATATGTATTAATCTAAGGAAATTAATAGGAAGAAGATGGATGGAGATGGTAATCATTGTTTGCGTTTGAGAAGAATGAAAATTCCCATTCCAATGCCTTCAGCAACTCCGGGAGGGGGGCGGCCGGTGACTTTGGCTTCATATCGATCGAAGAGTTCATCGAGAATCTCACTCCCAAAGTGTGCCTTGATCAGTGCCTCAAACCCTGCTCTGCACTCTTGCTTTTTAAACAAACCGAAAGTCCTATCCGGCATCTTCTCAATCTTCTTCGCAATGTAATTCCCATTTCTTTCTATTATTTTCTCTATCTCTTCTGGTGATGGGCTATACATGGGCAAGTTAAATAAGGCCAACTTATCCTTGCTTATAATTCCCTGTAAATATATTATTATAACCCACATTAATAGGATATATAACTATTAACAAAAACTAGCTAGCCTTACAAATATATATATATATATATATATATATGTACCTCATTAGCCATATCTACAAGGCTAGATTCCAAGGGTTCGAACTGGGGGCCAAGTGATGACTTTCCAGGAAGTGTCCCACTAATGCGACCGGAAATCAGAAGCACCATCAACCCCCCGGGAGCAAGCTCTTGCGCCCGAGCGCCTAGAAATGTTTCCATGTCTCTTTCATACTGTGCTGCATAAGCCTCACCAATTTCTTTAGGTGCATTTGCATAGAAAATCTTCTCTCTATTGCAGCAAGGAGACTTTAGGTCACCGAGCTCCGGGGGGACCTTGGAAAGCCAATGGAGTGCACTTGAACAGTGAATAACATTGAGAGAGGCCTTGGGAAACAATCTGGTATAGAAAGAGCCTGGTACTCCACAAACAAAGTATTGCCGATCTGTTGGAAGACTCAAAAAAAGGAGATTGAAGTCATTGGAAGCATGGTCACTGAAGAACACTTGAAATTCCAAGGGGGAAGAAGTGTGGCCTTGTTTTTGGTACTTTTCTTGTATGGCTTCTATTATGTTCTTCACTGCAATGAAGGTGTTGTTTCCAACTGAACACCCTAAATCAGCAATGGAGATTGATTTTGTAGGAGAGCCAGGTACTATGTCAAGGTTTTCTCCAATTGCTTCCGCAAGCATGGGTTTGGCGCGATCAGCAGCCCTTTTCTACATACAAATATCAATATATATATATATATATATCATAACTGAATTGCAAACTATACTAGTCATAGAAAATGCTTTGCTACAAAATATCATGTCTTTTGAATCATTGATTCGTGCACCAAGTTCTCCTTGTTTTGAATTATTTTGTTCAAGTCTCATAAGTGTGTGTTTGTTTGGTAAGCAACTTTTCATGTGTTTGTTTTTTAGATAACCCGACTTTTTATGTCCCTATTAAGTTCAGATGACACAACAAATACGCACCTACTCTAGAGAGGTTTTAGAAAACTGACAAAATCAAAATGAGTTTTTTTTCGAACAGTAAAATCAAAATGAGTGGGAGGAAATGATTTATTGAGAAAGAAAGTTACAAAAAGGTGGATTACTCAAAAACAATAGAATTAGCAATAATTTATTTAGGGTCTATTTGGTATGCGTCTTGTTTGTGTTTTTTTTTTTTTAGTTGGGTAGCATTGGGAAAAAATGTTTTTAAGTAAAAAATATTTTGTTTTACACAGTGTCAAAAAATATTTTGTTTTTAAGTAAAAAATATTTTATTTTGCACAATGTCGAAACGTTTAGTGAATAGTGGCCAAAAATCAAAACATCAATTTAGTATTTTTACATATTTTACCTGTGTTTAAAAAATATTTTGTTTTGCAAAACATTTTATGAATAGTGACAAAAAATCAAAATACCAATTTGATATTTTTACATGTTTTAAATGACATGTTTAAACTAATTATTATATTTTTCAAATTGGCAACACTTTTTTAACAAACATACTTTCAATTACTATTTAAAATACTCCACAACAAAATACTTGTTCTGTTTCGAGTAAAAACAAAATACCAAAAACAAGCGCAATATGACCTTAATTATTAAGAATTCTATTGGAGCCGATGGTAGAAACGCGTGATAGTAGTAACGCGTGCATTAATTCACTGTGGTAATGTTGTTGCAACCTAATTAAATGGGATGGTAATCAATAATATTCATTTAACATTCAAATAAATTCTATTAGTGCCCAAAACGAGGAAGATATTTTTTAATTATTTTTGCCATTTAATGCTACCATATGATGTTAGGAAAACATGGAATCCTACCATTCCAACAATTTTTGAAAAATAATGGTTCCATTATACAAAGATGTATATATATAGGCGGTATGGTTCAAGCATATATGGAATTGTTCATTGAAAGAACAAGCACACTTGACAGCAACCTATCCTTTTCTCAAAGAAATTCTTTTCTTCTCGGTTAAAATTTGACCTGAATCATTTTTGCCAGGGACGGACCCAGCAGGGGGGGCAGATGCCCCTCCTGAATTTTTAATATTTTCATTTTATACCCTAATGTTTTTAAAATTTATGAAAATGTCTCCCTAAAATTACAATTCGCCCCCACTGGATTTTTTTTTTTTAGCATTTTATACTTCAAATTTTAATAATTTATGAAGATACCCCACTATAATTATAATTTGCCCCACTGATTTATTTTTTTTTTCATTTTATACTTAAATTTTTTTAAAATTTATGAAAAAAACCCTATTAAAATTACAAAAATGAACCCATCATATAATTTTGTACCCACAAATTAAAAATTCGCCCCCCCCCTCACCAAATTTTCTGGGTCCATCACTGAATTTTCTGCGACAGGTAGAACTTATAATAGTCACACCTAGTAATGAAAGACTCAACTAAAAAAATGGAATTGTCACTCTGCCCTAGTTCAAAACGAGACATTTTGATGAGAATGAGTGAAAAGAACGACTCGGAAAAATATCTTATATATTATATGAAAGTATTTTATGAAAAGTGATTATATTTTTAGAGTTCTTAAAAACTGTTTTTATATAAATGAGCCAAGCAGATTCTAGTTGATTTATCTTTCTCCTCGATCTATTCCCTCCCATGAGAGAAAATCGAAACCACCATTCGAGGGATCAAAAATTTTCTGGGGATGGAAGTACAAAAAACTGAAAAGTAGAAATTTAACAATAGAAAATTACCTGGGGACTGGAATTTTTGGTGTAGCTGTATTCACCATCTCCACCGGTCATAGGAAATGATTCTTGGTCACCCATCTCTCCTTCTTTCATGTTTGTTTGCTGCATTTTCAGTATATGTATTTATAGCTATATACATATATATGTGTGTGTGTGCGTGTGTGTGTAAGTATTAGTTCTTATTCCTTAATCTCTTTAAGAGCAAAGAAGGAAAGAAGTATGCATCACTCTCTCTGTCACAATAATGTTAGGTCATCATTCATTCAATCAATATTTACATATTTATATAGATTGGATTAATCCCAAAAAAGAAGGAAATTAAGCAGCCTCGTCAAAAGGATTATAATTGCTTATTTTACATATTTTGAAAGCAAGAACCGGGGCACCAAAAACACTCCTATATATGTGCCCTAATGCATGCGTGCACCATTAACGCCTTGGCCCGTTTGGTTATCTATTTGCATGCCTGCATGCTTACGTAAGCTTCATTTGTTAGTCTCTCTCTAGACAGAAAGTGCTCAAAAGTAAGAGAATTATATCATATACATACACACACCCGCGCGCTAGGAAATGAGTGTGCATTTATAATAATCATCACCATTATTGTCTTTATTCGTTTAAAAATTTTTAAGAATTGTGGGTCCCAAATATTAAAGAAATTGTATCCTGAGAAAATTTTGAAACCCCCACCCCCCCAATCATTTTAGTTTTTTATTTTTTAAAATTTATCATGTTTAGTTTAAAATATACTTTACAAAAACGTTAAGATGTTCAGTAAAAAAAATTTATAAGTTGCATTCCAAACTGAAGGAAATAAGTTATACTACTCCGAATCTTTAGCCAACCCGGCAAATAAGTGGCTGATAATTATTTTGCACTTGTTACATCACTACCCATTGGGAATGTAGCTAGCGCACGTCATATTGCCCAACTCATATTTGTCAACAAAAACACGCCATGCCAAGTAATTCAATCAATTACAATGGAGGACAAAAATACTTGCAGTACAAAACTTTTTTGAAAAAAAAGTAAACATTTATGCAAAAACGAAATCAATTTTTTGGACCATTATTCTAGAAACTTCTACAATAGACCTTGATTAATATGGTATACAGAGGTGGATATTTGCTTTACAAGAGTTTGAAACACTTCACTCGTCTCTTTCGATCCCTATAAAAGAAAAGGTCTCTGAAGATTATCTTAGAGCGCAAATAGAATTTTATATTAAATACAACATACATTTAACATTTGCTAAATTTTGCTTTTGAAATTAAATATTTAGTAAATACAGAGAAGACATTTATTCAACTTAACAAACATTTCTCAACTAAGTCAATTAAGTAAACCCTATTTTCCAATCCTGTTTCATACAAGTTTAGAATTCATTTGCATCTTGTTAGATCTCTCGTTAAGTGAAAAAAATCAGTATCAACAAGTACCACCATGGTCTAAATTAATGCAAGTCTAACACTGATCTAAAGCTTTGATTACCAACTTGGGTTTTGCATAAGCATCTCCATTATATCTTTACCGGTAGTAGACCATTTTTTTTATTATTATTATTTTATTTATTTATTAATTCTGGCAAGAAACTCACACCCTCGCGTGTACCTAAGAAGACTCGGAACCCTCAACTTTCTATTTGAGTTAGTACCACTAGACTATGGCACCCTTCATAACAGGTAAAGGGTATTAATGCACAAAAATCAACATAATAGAAGCAATACATACTTGAGCACATCTTTCATAAACCAACAAATATAATAGTAGAGGTTACTTAAAGAAGGGGTTATATAAATTAGGTCAACCTTCACCCCCCATCAACAATCAGAATAATCGTACCCTTCAAAAACAGAAACATAAGCCAAAAACATGGACACCAGCAACAATGTCCCAACCATCCATCAAACATCTCCAGGAGCTTTATCATGCTATATATCAGTATCGATGCAATTCATAGAGTTGCACGCAATGTCTCAGCGGGAAGCAAAATCCTGTGCTGCCCCTAATTGTGTACATTTAAAAAAAATTGTCCTCCAGATTCAGCTTGCCTGTCAAACAGATCCAATAACCATGTCAACAAATTAAGAAACCGATATAATGGATTGAAGAGCGGCAACTACATGCCAATAAATCTACCAATCCCATACAACCAAAATTTATTATATTGTACCTGAACTAAGCTTATGATACCAATGGGAGTGTGAAAGTTACAAAGCATACACAAAATAAGATCCACTAAATTCCAATAAGGGTATAAAATAGAGAAAATCTGACATCATGTCAGAAAGTGACAAGGAACTGCTATGGTGCAACTCAGAACCAAGCCATCACGTCCCAGTCGCATTACTTTTCCACAATTGTATATTTCTCTGGCGGTAACCAGTACTGTGTTGGCAATACGGACACCCACAAAACCAGAATTCCACAGATGTAGCTGTTGCTCGATGGCAATAGAATGAGAAATAACACTACTTTGATAAATAAGACAATCTATTCCATGATATATACTCAAACAATAAGAAGGCCAAAGAAACAGCTGACTTGACGAATGCAACTTCTTCACTTTCGTACAATCACAAATTCAAAACAGAAGGCTCTTAACAAGTCCAAAAGGTGACATTTACTTGGAAACTGACATAATATACCTGACAAATAGAGGGATTGATGCCAAGTTACAGAGTCGGACCAAAAATTAGAATTTTCAATAATGTTTCAAAGTTCAGAGTTCCATTGATTACTCCAAATTCGGCCAGCTCTGATTAAAAAATTTGGGTATTCTGGATAAAATTTCAATAATATAAATGATTTTGACAATGATAAAATTAAATACCAAACTAAAAAAAATATTAATTAATTTCATAATGTTAATACAATAGAAAATGATTCATGACATGATGTTAAAATTTCTTGTGAGTTCTTTCAATTACTCAAATGAGCTGGTGTACAGGGAGCTGGAGAATAAGGTCAATACTGCTGTAAGCATTTTTTGTCACTGATAACGGTAAAGACACTATACTTGAGAGAAACCAAGTGGACACAAAACTTAACATTGAGAAGAAAAATGCCATCATTACAAATGACTCACCTCTTGTGCCAAAATTGTTTTTTTAACTTCAAGAAGAAAGATCAGTGACTTTCCCCACTGCAACCGTTTTCCCTAAACAACATGGTATTTGTGAGTTCAAGTGAACAAAAGAAAATAATGTGTTCCCAATAAACCAAGGGCAACAACAGTATGTCACCTTCAGTTCGAAGAGTAAACCTTCCAAGCTGGGGAAAATCAGAGAACTTCTCAATGCATATCATGTTATTCACCTGGGAAGCACATTTTTTGTAGGAGAAAAGATCAGTAGTAATGGGAGAATAATTATGCATGAGTTGGAGAAATCCAAATTGTCAATTTATTCCTTGGAAGAAAAAAAAATGTGGAAAAAGTGAATATAGTGAAGAAGTACAATTTTGCCAACCATTCAAACTAGTTTTTCCTTTATTTTTATTATTTCTGTACTTTTTTTTTTTTTTAATCATAGGTGCGTGGGATAATGATATACATAGGATGTCAAAGGTAAAAAAAAAATGTGAAACAAATGCTGAAATTTACCAAACATCTGAGACGATTAAAAAAATAAAGTTTTTGCAAAAACTATCTAATAGAAAATGTACTCATAGGACATGCTTATGTGAACAGATTATACTAGGAAACATCTACAATTCCACATATATTTATACAATTAGAAGTAATAAATGAAGAAGAAAAAGACAGTAGTATAGAATATCTTATTGTCTACAAGAATATGATAAAACTAACCTGAATGCGGCATAAAACAACAGCTCCATTCTTCACAAAGAGAATTTTCTTTCTCATGGGTTTTTTTGTCTTCGGATCAATTTGTTGTATTAGCTCAACAATCTCACATTCCTCAACAACAGCATGAATGTGCAAGACAGCCTTGTAGCCAGCAGTAAAAATTGCCTGAATAACAGCAAATTTTGTAAGAATTTATTTGCAAATAATAGTAGTAGTAGTAGTAGTAAAAGAAGAAGAGAGAATGAAATGTATGGGCGTACATTGTCCAGCAACTCAAGTATCTGTAACTGGGCAATAAACTCGTAGGCTGCAGCTATAGGCTTTGCTGCATGAATATAAACTAATTAAAACCCCCCAAAAAATACACAATAAACTAGCAAGAAAGAAGATTCAAAACCAAAACATTATGAAAATAATATTAGCAATAATTTTATTACTATTGACGATGATATAGAAATATAGCAGTTACACATTCTTTTAAGGGTACCCCAGGGATACATGGAGAGCTTTCTATCATGTGAAACGAAAAGGTAATACTAAGGAAACCATTAGTAAAAGAAAGGAAAAGATAGCATTAGATAATAAAAGATAGGAAAGTGTTAACTCCTCTGTAACTAAGAAGGAAAACAAAATGACACTAGTGACTCTTCATTGTATTTGGAAAAAAATAAAGCAGAAAAGGGAAAACAAAAATTTGTTTTATTTTTTAAGTAACGAGAGAAAAACATCAATTCACTTCAATGCTGCAAATGAACCAAGTTCTTCGTGGACAGCTCAGGCGTGTTCAATTTCAAGCCTCGTTTAGTAAACAAGCCTATCCCGATCGGTATTAGGCTCAGCTTGTATAAGCTCGTGAACATGAGCTCATGTAGGCTCATATATGTTTGTGAACATAGGATCATATACGCCTCATAAACATAGGCTTGTACACGCTCATGAACATAGGCTTGTGTAGGCTCGTATAAGTTCACGAACAAGCCAAAGCGATCTTGAACACAAGCTCAAATCGAGCCCAAACGACTTTTGTTATTAAACGAGCTGAGCCCGAGCTCAGCTTTTTGAGCTCGTCACAATCCTGAGCCAAGACCAAGCTCAGCCCACAGACGAACAAGATGAGCCCGATCAGGCTCAAGCTTGGCTCGACTCGGCATTTGCAGCTGTACATGAAAGAACCAATAAACTTGGCGTCATAAATTGCCCAATGGGAAAATAAGATTATGTTACCATGCAGAAAATAAAGATTAAAAGTTCCGCACTGCTTTTGAAGAATAAGAGTACTTCAGCGCTTATATTAAAAGGCTTCATTCAAATTTTTTTCTTTCCAGTGACTATGGGTGGGATGCAAATGATACAACTAATATGTGTTAAATGCAATAAAAATCAAATCAACTAGTACACAGGAGAAACAAAAAGCTATCAAAAGCGCAATCTGGGAATTCTCCAACGGGAAAATGTATTATGGGAGTGTGTGACTTGAACTATTGATTCCTTGATGCAGATATATGTCTTTATCTATCTGCCACATTCAAATTCATAACCAACTAGTCTTTGTTCCAACCACCGTGTAAGCCCTATACAGAGGATAGGCTGGTACGCTTGAAGAGAATCTTTTTCTATGATCCGACCCGGATCATGTCGTACATGAGTAGGTTCCGTAAGATCCAATAGAATTTTAAATGCAAGACAAATCAAATCAACCAGTACAAAGGCGAAACAATTTAAATTATCAAAAGCGCAATCTGGTCATATAAAAAATTATGGAAGGTTAGGATAGTGAAAAAACCACCAGAAGGTTTTCTAGAGAGGGTCCATCTTTGGTGGGAGGGGTATGGTGTGGTTGGCACCCCTAGTCATGTGCTTTCAGGCAGATTGCGTCTCTTGAAGGACCTTAAGACTTCGAATAAAGAGGTCTTTGGGAATCTGGAATGGAGAAAAAATCGGGTTATTGCTGAGATTGCGGCTTTTGACCGGATGGAGGGTCAAGGAGAGTTGGTGGAGGCTTTGAAGGTTAGGAGGGCGGAGTGTAAGGCGGAGTTTGCTGAAATTGCAATCATGGAGGAGATCTCGTGGAGACAAAAATCTCGAGCCTTGTGGCTTAAGGAGGGGGATAAAAACACAAAAAAAATTCATAGATTGGCCAATGCTCATAGAAGAGGCAATCATATAGGGAGGATTCGGGTTGAAGGGGTTGTTTATTGTGAGGAGGAGATGATCTGCAAAGAATTTTCAGAGTTCTTTGAGAAGTTGTTCACAAAGACTGTTGAGTGGAGACCTTTGCTTGAAGGGTTACAGTTTGACTCGATTTCTGAGGAGGAGTGCTTGGGCTTGGAGTTGCCTTTTTCTGAGGAGGAAGTTCTGTTTGCTTTGAAGAGTTGCAATGGGGATAAAGCCGCAGGTCCAGATGGATTTACCATGAGATTTCTTCTGGAGTGCTGGGAGGTGGTCCAAGGGGAGGTGATGGGCACTTTTCATGCTTTCCATTCTCGAGGTTCGTTTGAGAAAAGTTTGAATGCCACGTTCATTGCCCTCATCCCGAAAAAAGGGGGGGCATTGGATGTTAGGGATTTTTGCCATATTAGTTTGGTGGGTTGTGTCTACAAGTTGATTGCCAAGGTGCTTGCTTCTAGATTGAGGAAAGTTATGGATGGTATCATTTCGGATTCTCAAAATGCTTTTGTCGGAGGTCATCAGATTTTGGATTCAGTCCTTATTGCGAGCGAGTGTGTGGACTCCAAATTGCGTAGTGGGGACCCGGGTGTTCTTTGTAAGCTGGATATAGAGAAGGTGTATGACCATGTGAGTTGGAGCTTCCTTCTTTACCTGATGAAGAGGATGGGGTTCGGTGATAGGTGGAGGAGATGGATGCACTTTTGCATTTCCAGTGCTCGATTTTCGATCCTTGTAAATGGTGCTCCTTCCGGTTTTTTCTCTAGCTCAAGGGGCTTGAGACAAGGGGATCCTCTCTCCCCCTTCTTGTTCTTGTTTGTGATGGAGGCCCTTAGTAGATTGATGAGAAGGGCTACAGAGTTGGGTTTTTTGAGGGGCTTTCGGGTGGGAAGGAATGTTGCTTCTCAGTTGGAGATCTCTCACTTGATGTTTGCTAATGATACTTTAGTTCTTTGTGATGTGAATGTGTCCCAGATTAGATATCTGAGATGTGTTTTGATTTGGTTCCAAGTTGTCTCCGGCCTTAAGGTGAATGTGGGCAAGAGTGTTTTGGTGCCGGTTGGGGAGGTCCCTGAGATTGAGGCTTTTGCGGACATTCTTGGTTGTCGGACTGGGTCATTTCCCATTTCTTACTTAGGTTTGCCTCTAGATGCTCCTTCGAGATGTGTTGGGATTTGGGACCCAGTGGTGGACAGATTCGAGAGAAGATTAGCGGGTTGGAAGAAGCAGTATCTTTCCAAGGGAGGCAGGGTCACTCTGATTAAGAGCACCCTCTCTTGCCTTCCCACTTATTTTATCTCTCTTTTTCGGATTCCCTCTTCAGTTGCGGAGAGGATTGAGAGGTTGCAACATAATTTTCTGTGGGGGGGGTAGAGGTGAAGAGTTTAAGTTTCATTTGGTGCGATGGGAAAAGGTTTGCAGGCCTATTCGAAATGGTGGGTTGGGCCTCCGTAAATTGGTGCCTTTTAATAAGGCCCTCCTTGGGAAATGGTTGTGGAGATTTGGTGTGGAGATACATTGGCTTTGGAGGAGGGTTGTGGCATGTCGTTTTGGGGAGTTGAGAGGAGGGTGGAGTTCTTTGGAAGTGCGGGATCCTCGAGGGGACGAGGTTTGGAAATTTATTCGGAAGGGTTGGGATGAATTCTCCAAACACATTCGGTTTCGACTTAGAGATGGAAGGAGGATTCGCTTTTGGGAGGATTTGTGGTGTGGAGATTTTCCTCTTGCTCTCGCTTTTCCTCAACTTTACAGGATTGCTTCGGATAGGCAAGCCATGGTGGTCGACTGTTATCATCTTGATAATGGGAGACTGGTTTGGGATGTTTGATTCAGGCATTTCTTTCAGGATTGGGAGATCGAGGAGGCCATTCGTTTCTTGGAGTTGCTGTATCGCCAAAGGATTGTGGAGGAGGATTCGGATTGTTGGTCTTGGGCAGCAAACTCTCAGGGGCGTTTCGAGGTGAGGTCTTTCTTCAAGTGTTTCTCTTTTGATCCTGATGTTCGTTTTCCTTGGAAGTAGGTTTGGCGTTCCAAGGCTCCTCTCAAGGTAGCTTTCTTTGTGTGGACTTCGGCTCTGGGTAGGATCTTAACCCAGGATAATTTGCGAAAGAGAAGCCAGGTGGTGATAAATCGTTGTTATATGTGTCTTCGTGATGAGGAATCAGTGGATCACCTTCTCATTCATTGCTCTTTGGCTAGAGCTTGTTGGGATTTGATGCTCGGTTTATTTGGGTCTTCTTGGGTTATGCCAGGTTCTGCGAGAGGGTTGATTGAGGCATGGAGAGGTTGCCTACGCCGCTATGCGTGTGGTGGTGTATTTGGCTTGAAAGAAATAGAAGATATTTTGAAAGAAAGGCGATGTCGATTTCGGTGCTTAAATTCTCAATTATTTTCACTTTTTTTTGTTGGGTTTCAGGGAGAGAGATCATAGATCGTTGGAGGAGATTGTTGATTTTTTGGCCTCTTTGAAGGCTCGAGTCCTTTGTGGCTTTTTGTATTTTTCTTGGGATCCGCTCCCCTTTTGTGCGTTTTTATAAAATCTTTATTTATCAAAAAAAAAAAAAAAAAAAAAAAAAAAGACCACCAGGATCATTCAGGATCATAGGATCACCATAGGATCTTAGGAAAATCATGACATAGTAACGCTCAGGCATAGAAAAGAACTGATAATTTATTTCTTCCTTTATGGTGCTTGAAAAGTTGTAAACTATACTGAACTTACACCTTCTGTTAAAAATATTTGTTGTTGTAGCATATGTAATCGGTATTTGTAGATTCTGTTAACAAATTTTCTTGGTTTGTTTCATTTAGTATGCAATTTTGATATTATAGGAACAACATTACCATATACATAACTGAGAATAGAGAATCTTAAGTCTGATCTTCCCAGTACAACCCTACTTAAAAATTGCATGGCATTAGGATATATATTCTGTAATTATAAAATTTCGTTTTGTATGATCTTATGATCCTCAATCGGATCCTATCACTCCCTAATCTATCCAATGTAAGATCCCAATCCTAATAATCTTAGTTATCCCACAAGCACATTATGACCTCACAAAATCACAATTAAATCATAAAAATAACAATTATACACCAAAACTTTAATAGCCACAATAAATAAAGTTTCAAAAACATACCAACACTAGACAAGACAAAACCCGATAGAATGTCATCCTCCTCAATGCCCGATAATCTAATTCGTAGATTCTCACCAGGTCCAGCTCGGTGAACTTTATTATCATCACAATATATGGCAAGAACTTTCACCTGAGCCTGTAGATCAAAGTGTAAGTTTTCAAATCCTCGTCAAACAAAATTCAGATCTCCACAAAAGAAAAAGAACCAAAGAAAAACAAAAAGAGAAAAAGAAAAAAATGATGAACAAAGGTTTATAGAAATAACCTTATTTGGCATGACCAACAGGTTATCACCCTCCCGCACACTACCAGATTCTACTTTGCCCATCAAAACAGTTCCCATGTCTTTAAATTTGTCAATAATAGGCATCCTGCAAACTCAAAATTTTGACATTAGACAAACAAAATAAGAATAAAACCAATAACATTCATTGATTTCAATTTCACCTATTTCAGTCAAATTGGCAAAACATTTTAATTTCCAGGGCACTAGCCAAAACAATGATGTGAAATATCTCTACGGTAAGTTGGATTTGCCCAAACCTCAGAAAAGGTCAGTGTAACTTACCCTTTATATTTTGATGAGACAGATGGGAGGGAATGTTGTGAAGCAAAATAACTGGAGGATAATCTTTCTTCCCGTGTGTGTGTGTGTGTGTGTGAGAGAGAGAGAGATCACATGAAAATATAAGGAGAGGGGGGGAGGGGGGGGGGGGATCGGAAAGAAAAAAACAACTTGAAAAGATAAAAGGCGATATCGTACCTAAATGGACCATTAGGATCACGAGGTGGTATTTCAATAGCATCAAGAGCTTCAAAAAGACACGGACCATTCCACCATGAACAAGTACTTTTATCCACTCTTTTTTTCATATTTGTACCAATAAGACCAGATATTGGAAGAAATGCAACATCTGCAAGTTCAAAAAAGTGGATGATAACACAGAGCAAGTAATTGAAGATGCTAAGAAAAGTAGCCAATTTCAATATAATGCTCAGAAACAGAATCCTTTGTTACCTTTCTTCACATTGTAACCTGAAGCTTTTAGGAAGGGCGTCATCTTTGACATAATTTCATCAAACCTGGGAATGAAAACCATTACTTTAGAAGAAGTGGAGGAGATCCCACAGTATACAAACACATCCGCACCCAAGAAAGAAAACCAAAAACAAAAGGGGGAATAAAAAACAGGTACTTGTGAAGCACCTTTCTTTCGACCAGTTCACAGTTGGTTCATCCATTTTATTTACAACAACAAGCATCTTAGAAACGCCCAAAGTCTTGGCAAGTTGGACATGTTCCCGAGTCTGTCCACCTCTCTCATACCCAGTTTCAAATTCTCCTTTCCGAGCAGATATCACCTGAACACAGTGACAGAGAGAAGAGACGGATTTTTAGAAACCAATCAGGCAAATCATGCAAGTTGAATTCTAAATATATATTAAGAGGTAAGGGAATAAGATCAGCATTAACTTACCAAAACACCTATATCAGCTTGAGATGCCCCACTGATCATATTTGGGACATAACTTTTGTGACCCTGAATAATCAATAAAACACAAGATAAAAATTAGTCCCCAACAATAAAAAATGAACTCGCATTCAATATTGAATACAGGAACTGAAGTAATTGGACAAGGTTATTTATTGTCCATATACAACAAAAAAATATGTACATTTATCATTTGTGCACTACAAAAATTTGGACCAGGGTCAAGATTCCTTTGAAGATGAAATTCCTCTCCATCGACTCTTTTATTTCTTCCAAGGATGATGCGCAATGGCATAGCTCATAGGCATTCTCACGTAAAAAATTAAAAATATCATTTTGTCTCATTAGAAGAGGCCTAAGAAATAAGAATTTTGTTTTTGAAAAAGAGAAGGGGGAATTCAGAAATTTCAATTAATTTCGAAGAGTTTCAAAGGCAGGAAGACATGAAAGAGGGCCGCCTCCACTCTATTTCACTACCAGGGGTTGTTAGGGGGAAAAAAAACACTTAGAGCCACTAGGAAGCTGTGATAACTTTGATACTTTTTTATAATTAAAAGTATTTTACATGCTTTTATTACTTTTATTAAGTATAGTTGCTAGATTTAGGCAAGAATGTGCACTTTAATTTTGTAATAGGGGCATTTCAGTAACTCAACTACAGGGACTATGCAGTGGACTCGACCAAGTGGATTTTTGTTTTTCAGGCTTCTTTCTATTAATTTGGGTCAGTTATAGTCTTCTAGATGGTCTTTTGGGTATAAAAAGCTTTCAACTGAAGTGTACCTAGCTTCCAGGTTTCATTACTAGGATTTCCAAGTTAACCTGGTCTTCAAGTTTGTTAGCATGAGCCTCGAGATTTTTTAGGTCTCCTCCTCTCTTTTTCGCTTTCCAAACAAGTCCTTTGTTATTTTTTCTCACTAATTATTGGAGCAGGTGTTCAACAAAAGAAATTTTCAGCTGGGGCTTCAACCACCCTGGCTTCATATATAACCACCTAAAGCTAACAAATTGTTAAATTTCCTTATCCAGATAGTAAGCTTTTTCTCAAAGTTTTCCACAAAAAAATTTAATTATTGAAAATAGATCTTGTATTATCATGGAGCAGCAACAATCTTCCACAACTTCTAAATAAATTGCAATACTTAACTAAAATTCATATATTTTAGTTCCACCTCTAAACGGACCATGTCATGCCAAAATAAACCAGTTCAAGACCTTATCAGAAAAAAAAAAATTTGGCGGGGGGTTTATGACACCTGAGTGGGAGAACCAAGGTAAACTCATAAAAAGAGAGAATCATGGTGGTAGAGTAATGAAATACAAAAAGCTATAATAATAATATATAAAAAAAAGTGAGTTTTAAAGAAAGACAAAAAGTAAGAAACAAGATGACCTCGAAATACAAAAAACTAAAAAGCAAAGCTAAACAAAATGCCTTAAATGAGTTATATGTGAAACTAGGCACAAAATAGGGTGAAAAGGCCACCATTTACAAGTCAGCAAAAAATGGAGAAAGGTTGCCTAGAGATATGGATCAAGTTGGGTGTATAAAGGATACTGATCTAACAGTACTAGTTGAAAATAAACAATGACATATTAGAGAGAAGGAAAACTTACTATCAACAACTACTACTAAATGAAGGATATACTAGAGAAGAAATTATAACTAGCAAACATTAAATAGGAATGATAAACAAAATGACTACTGAGGTAGTAATAGGACCAGACATGGAGAATTAAGAAGAAGGGTAACAATAAAGCAATAGGACCAAACAACATACCATTAGAGATATGGAGAATTCTAGGAAGTATGGGAATTGAATGGTCAACAAAGTTATTTAAAATATTCTAACAGAAGAAAAATGCCTGATGAATGGTGGAGGAGTACCATAATACCAATTTGTAAAAATACACGACATGTATAAGATTATGAAAGTTATATAGGAATTAAAATACACGATCTGTAGGGGTGTGCTTTACGTAGAAGTGTTTCTACTTCATACGTTTAAAATGAGAGTCATACATATTCAAGCGTCTCCACCTCAAACTTGTCAAACAAAACTAAACCATTATTATCTAAGTAGTACTTCCACTAACAAAAAAAAAAAAGGTCAAAAATATCAGTAACGTCGCAAAAAGAACAGTTTACCGGTGCATCCAAAATTGTAAATCTCGTTGATTCTGTTTCAAAATGTGCTCTTCCAACTTCAACTGTTTTACCCTACAAAGAGCATTCCATATTTAAAAGATAAATAATTAAGCAAGCACACTTTTCAATTCTAAGGAAACATGACAGCAGAGAAAAACAGATATATGAATCAAGTTAGCAAGAAAGTATATATCATTAAAATTATTAAAAAAAAAATCTTCTTATTTCAAAACACAACCAGATATATATACCTTAACCCTCTCCTCTTCATTAGTGTCCATAATATATGCCATATACCTAGCACATGAAGAATAATAAGTGGTCAGGAAGGGCAATCAAATAAATGGTCCATAGATATTCAGATAAGTAAACAATAAATTCTAAACCATGAGATCATCTACAAAAAGATAAAATGAAATCTCAAACCCAACAAAGCTTTTCCCAACTATTGAGGGTCGGCTACTTGAATCCAATTTTTCCATTCTGCTCTGCATAAGCCTTGATCTCAGTCAAACCACATATTATCATATCTTTCTTCACTAACTCTACTTAAGCTAATTTTGGTCTTCCTGTTCCCCGGTATTACCCTCAATGCAGATCATGTCACTCATCCTTACTGGTGCACCTAGTGGTTCATTGCTCATGTGCAGAACAAATTTATCAATTTTCTCATTTTATCTCCAATCGTGCTACTTTAAACATCTTATGAATGTGTTTATTTTTAATTATATCGTGTTGCACATCCAACTCAATATTCATATTTCTGCTAAACTCACTTAACACGTGTTTATCTTGAATGCCCAACATTCTGTCCATAAAAAGAATGATTGGCTTATAGCTGTTTCATAGAACTACATTTTCAACCTTAGAGGGATACACTGATTTCACACAATATTCTATTATCACCACTCCATTCAACCCATCTGCCTAACAATTGAACTCATATAAAAGGAAAAATTGATTAGCATGCCAACTTTAAAATCTGCATAATGAAAATTCTTAATCTAGAGTTAAGATCGGTGAGGAATAGACAGAGTGACATAATTGGCATCTAGAATTAGTTCTTTATTGGAATAAACTAGAACTCTAGAATAGTTTAATAACTTTGAAGTATACCAGAAGAAATCGGAAGTCGACGAAAGCAAAATGAGCAGTACATGCAACATATAATTCTATCCTAATTCAGTACTAGAAGGCTGGCAAGCCTGATGCGCATCCCAAAGCATCTCTTCCTTTCCGGAAACGACTATCACACAACCTCTCCAACTGCTGTTATTTGCACCATACCTCTCTCTTTTTTTTGATAAGTAAATTGTATTAAAAGCGTTCAAAAGGGGAACGCGTCCCAAACTATACAAAGACAAAACGGAGCCTATGAATTCAAAGAGCTCATAAAATCAACAATATCCTCAAGAGAGGAGCAGTCTCTCCCCTAACCCCAACAAAACAAATTACAAATGATAGAAAATTTTAACACCCCAATGGAGGATTCCTTTCCCTCAAAAGATCTTCCATTACGCTCTCTCCAAAGGCTCCACCAAATACAAAAAGGGATCACCCTCCAAAAAACTCTGACCTGAGCCCCCACCCATTGGCCCCTCCACATATCTAACAACTCCCAAGATGACCGAGGCATGACCCAATGAATACCAAACAGGCCAAACATCAAACTCCAACAATCATGAGCCACAGGACAGTGCAACAAAAGATGATCCACCAACTCCCCATTGCAAAGACAACACCTATTAACAATGATATGCCTTCACTTCCTCAAATTGTCCAAAGTCAAAATCTTACTCCAAACTGCAGTCCACACAAAAAAGGCCACCCTAAGAGGCGCCTTAGACCTCCACACCGTCTTCCATGGGAATGAGGTACCATGAAAACCAGAAAGGCACACAAAAAAGGACCGGACCTGGAACATCCCCTGAGAAGAAGGCACCCAAATCAAGGAATCTGCCCCAGACCCCTCCACCTCCTGTCCGTAAAGAAGAGCCAAAAACCCAGTGACATCATCCAGCTCCCAATCCTGAAAAGCTCGCCAGAAACGCACATCCCAAGACAACCTTCCACTATCAAGGCGATAGTAGTCAGCAACCATTGCATGTTTGTCAACAGCAATCCTAAAAAGCCTGGGAAACAATAGGGCCAAAGGCCTATCATCACACCATGGATCCTCCCAAAACCGGACAGTTCTTCCATCCCGAACTCTGAATCTAATATGTTTGGAAAAGGCATCCCACCCCTTACCAATGACCCTCCACACCCCCACTCCGCTAACAGACCTGACTGGTCTAACTGACCACCCTCCTCTCTCCTCCCCAAAGCGACATGAGATAACCCTTCTCCATAATCTATGTGTTTCCTTACCAAATCTCCAAAGCCACTAACTAAGAAGAGCACAATTGAAAAGGGCCAATCTCCTAATTCCAAGCCCTCCCAACCGAATAGGCCTGCAAACCTGTTCCCATTTGACAAGATGATACTTGAACTCTTCTCCGCGACCCCCCCAAAGGAAATTACGTTGGAGCATTTCTAGTCTTCCAACAATAGAGGCTGGAATACGAAAAAGCGAAAGAAAGTACGTTGGAAGGCTTGACAAAGTGCTCTTCACTAACGTAACTTTACCGCCCTTTGACAGATATTGTTTTTTCCAACCCGCTAATCTTCTCTCAGCCCGCTCAATCACCGGGTTCCAACTTCCCACCCTCCTAGCCGAGTCCCCCAGCGGCAAACCCAAGTACGAGATGGGAAAGCGTTGCGTCCCACATCCTAGAACAGCAGCCAGAGTGTCCACCTCCTGAACGTCTCCCACAGGAACAATCACACTCTTTCCCACGTTAACTTTCAAACCAGAAACAGCTTGGAAACAAACCAAAACACATCTCAGATACCTCAACTGGGATATATCAGCCTCACAAAAAACAATAGTGTCATCCGCAAAAAGTAAATGAGAGATCTCCAACTGCTGAACTGATTCAGGGCCAATCTTGAAACCCCTAAGAAAACCCAAATCCACCGCCATTCTCATCAGCCTGCTAAGGGCCTCCATAACAATAATAAAAAGAAAAGGGGAGAGAGGATCCCCCTGTCTCAACCCACGAGAACTGCCAAAGAACCCCGAAGGAGAGCCATTCACCAACACCGAAAACCTGACAATGGAAACACAAGAAACAATCCACTTCCTCCATCTCTCACCAAAACCCATCCTCTCCAACAGATAGAATAGGAAATTCCAGCAAACATGATCATAGGCTTTCTCAATATCCAGCTTGCACAGAACACCAGGAGTCCCACTACGAAGTCTAGAATCCACACATTCGCTAGCAATAAGAGCGGAATCCAGAATCTGTCTACCCCAACGAAAACATTCTGAGACTCAGAGATAACTCCATCCAGGACCTCCCTCAATCTAAAGGCAAGGACTTTTGCAATGATCTTGTAAATGCACCCGATCAGACTAATGGGTCTAAAATCCTTGATATTAGAAGCACCACCCTTTTTAGGAATAAGGGCAATAAAAGATGCGTTAAGCGATTTCTCAAATCGCCCCATGGAATGGAACTCATGAAAAGTGCCCATAATCTCGTACCGAACCACCTCCCAGCTTTCCAACAAAAATCTCATGTTGAAACCATCAGGACCTGGAGCCTTATCACCATTGCAACTCTTTAAAGCCTTCAGCACTTCCTCCTCCGAAAAAGGATTTTCCAGCCCATCTCTCTCCAAGGCAGAAATAGAATCGAAGTGAAGACCATCTAGACGAGGTCTCCAACGAAGAGGCTCAGAATAAAGTCTTTGATAAAAAGAGACAATAGCACTTCGCACCTCCTCCTCCGAAGACAGAACTGCACCATCCACACACATCCGCCCAATATGATTACTCCTCCTATTAGCATTAGCAGTTCTGTGAAAAAACTTCGTATTACGATCCCCCTCTTTGAGCCATAATGCCCGAGATTTCTGACGCCACGAGATTTCCTCCAAAAGAGCAATCTCCACACATTCTGCATGGCAAGCTGCTCTTCTACTGCGTTGAGATTCCGTAATAGCACCCTCCCCTTCCAATCGATCAATCTCCGCAATATCAGCCAAAGCCCTATTCTTCCTCCACACCAAGCTCCCAAACACCTCCTTATTCCACCTTTTAAGATTTGTTTTCAAGATTCGAAGCTTTCCGGCAAGAATATGGCTCGATGTACCCACCACCAGATTCTCCTCCCACCAAGAATGGACAAATTCCTGCAAGTTATCCGCACGAAGCCACATGTTCTCAAATCTGAAAGGAGTACTGCGAGATCTCAAACCTCCACAGTCCAAAACCAAGGGAATGTGATCCGACGTCACCCTAGCCAAAACTACCTGAACAACATCCGGGAATTTCTCCTCCCATTCACCTGAAATCAAAAATCTTTCAATGCGAGAGAAAGTTGGAACTTCCCTTCCACTGGACCAAGTAAAGGAAGCTCCCTCAAGAGGGAGATCAATAAGCTGGTGGTCATCAATAAAATCAGAAAAGTGCATCATAGCCTGGGTCCACGGGCCAACTGTAGACCTCTCCGCCGGGGATCTAACCACATTAAAGTCTCCTGCCATACACCAAGGAAGAGACCACCTCCCCTTCCCCCACTCAACTCCTCCCACAAACCATCCCTCTCAACATCATCAACCGGCCCATACACCCCAGAAAAACCCCAAGTGAAGCCATCCTCCTCCATCACAAAAGCACAAGATAAAGAAAATCTCCCTCTGCAAACATCAACTTTAGTCAGCCATCTCCTATCCCACATAATAAGAACACCTCCTGAAGTCCCAACAGCATCCAACGCCTCCCATTCAACAAAGCGGTTGCCCCACAGACTTTTCACCACCCGATCAGACAAAAAATCAATCTTTGTTTCTTGAAGACACGCCAAGTGCACCCCCCATTTCCTCACTGCCATCTTCACCACCCTGCGCTTGCCCGGATCGTTCAGACCGCGGACATTCCAAGATAAAATTCGAAACTTCATAAGGAAACAATCATCCCCTTCACCCCCTACCCCTCCCTCCTCCCTTAGCATTACCCCTCTCCTTCTCCCCCCCACTCACCCTATCATAATTCACATCACAGCATAGATTTCTAAGCTCCCTTTCCCCTTTTCCCGGAGTCAGGTTCTTCTTCTTCCTACTCCTCCTTCTGGAAAATTGAATCATCTCCCCTTCTCTCCCCTTTGCCGTGGCCTGAAGGATTGCTAAGGCTTCATTACGCTTTCCTTTGCATGAGACACCTAGTAGATCACAAGTAGCCCCAATGTTAGCCTTAACCCAATCCAATCCAGTGTCCTCACCTTCCTGCCTACACACCTTGCTGCCCATCTCCTTTGGATGAACTACAGCCAAAGGGTCCACCACCCCCAAATTAGCAAAACCCTCCTCCTCCCACAAAATCATATCCAGAGAACTCCCCTGATCCATTCTGCTCCCATCAGCCATACCTCCCTTGGCCTCCACAGCTTCATCAACAAATGATAACCAGTCCTCTCTAAAATCCAACACATCACTCTATGTGACCGAGACCGGGTTACAATCAACAGAATGGTCATCGATCGAGAATTTGTGCTTCTGCAACTCCTTCACCAAAAGAGAAGCTGATTCCTCGCTGAGGGAAATGCAGATATCTTTACCCACACAAACAGTCACCACATCAGGCACAGGATCCTTCAGACAAGCCACTGGATCACCCTAAAAAGAAGAACACACCCCTTCCGATCCACCCAAACGAAGCTTAGCCGCCCTACCCATCTCCTCCCCTGAAGAATCAAACCTAAAGGCTGAGGAAAATTCCGAACAAGTCTCAGCGATCCCTACAGAGTGTCTATCCACCTCCCTGTCACCAGACAAGCAAACCGTCCCGTCCCATCCCTTTCTGACAGCCCAACAGTCCCAAACTCCAAGCCAACCGTAGAGATCATCCCTTCCACCAAGTCAGCCTCAACAACAGGTGAAAGCAAATGATGCCTCCCAGCAACAATCTTACCCCCTTTACTATTCAACTCGCAAGAGGGAGTAGAAGCAGAAATAGAAGAAGATGCAGGTTTCCGAGCATGAAAGGAACTCGACATACCTGGGCACAAATGAGACACCTTACGGGCCACCCATTTCTGTTTGTCCTTCCTAGTCCATTTCTTACTGGGAATTATCGGCAAACTCCGAGATGTAACATCCTTCTTAATAGAGACACATTCGCCTTTCTTGTCATCTCCCAAAAAACCAGATTGAAGAATTTCAAATCTGTTACCCAAGAGTCGATTCTGACAGCACGACCCATGCCGGAAGTTCTTTGAGCTAGCCCCAGCCCCTTTTGACACCTTCGAACTCACCTTCACCCAATTCGCCTTCTCCTTCCTCGACCAAACACGTGAGGTCGAAACTCTCTGTGACGTAACCAAGTCAGGTTCTGGAATGCCATGGCTTTGACCTGCTTCTAAGGATGTGATGGGCTGCCCACTGTGGAAGGAAATTGAGAGATGGTTGTTTGGGCCCCATCTAACCAACCTTCATTTATCCACTCTTGTCTTCACCTAAACCGGTCCAGAGGAAAAGAGAGGCCCAGATTGCTTAGATCGTCCATCCCGTTTAACGGACTTGATGAACCGCCTCGGCCCAATGGATGACCTAGGCCCACCCCACGCATTAGAATCCTTCCCAGTGGCTTTTGATCCCGCTGCACGAGTCCCACGAAATCTAGGCCCAACACCATCCGGCCCAAAAGAAGTTGAATTTAAAAAATCAAGAGAACCACGTGACTCGGCACGAGGAAGGGTAGCTGTCATCCACTCAAAACGGTTATCCTTTCTCCTCCAACCACGTGTCCCAGACGAAGCCTCCCATTTCCACTTGCCTTAGGCGCGTGGCTGTTCACACGTCCCTAACCTTGGATTCGGTTACCCTGCACCTCCATCTGTTGGAAATCCGGCTTAGATTCATCCCCACCTCCATGACTGTAAACCGAACGAGAGATGCAAGCCAACGCCTCCGGTGAGCCCGAATCACCTTCTCCGGAACATGTCCCAGTCAGCGGGACCATTGTCGGATCAATCTCTTCAGATAACGAAATTCTGAACACCCATCTTCCATCCTCCACAACCACACTCGCCGGAATCACACCACCCCCAGCCACAGTGATCACAATTCTTTCCGTATCACTCATTTCGAAGGCCTCCACATCTCTAAACCCGCCACATGCGTCACCAATGGCAACGAAGAGCTTCTGACACCAAAGGTGCAGCGGCAAACCATACAGAATGACTCGCCGGAAATTGTGCCTCAATCTCAAACCAGAACACCCAACCCTAAAGTACCAGGGATCAATAAGGAATTGAGCCTCACCCCAAGATTTCTTGCCCCAATCCAGCACCTTATGGGCCTCCAACACCGACGGGAACCGGAACAACAGAAGTCCGTCCGGCAAAGAATTAACCCTAACTCCTCCCGAAATCAACCAAGTCTTCGTAGCCCAATCTTCAATGTTCTCCAAAGACCCCACCTCTCTGTCAAATCTCCCAACCAGACAAGCCCTAAGAACACGTTCTCGAGAGGAAGAATTGCGAGTGTCCACTCTGAACACATGATCCCTCGAGGAAGGAATCTGTTCCACCTCTCCTTTTAGGTCCAGACGAGGTAAACGAGCAACCTCCAAATAAGACTGCTTCTGACTCTCCAGCACTTTCATTAGCAGATCCACGCAACAGAAACCGAAAACACACAGCCAACGGAGAAAGGGGAAACAAAAAGAAAAATGACAGAGGATTTCATCGGAGTTAATGACTTCGGTGACTGGTCGGAGCAGTGGACTCCGGCCGCATCTCTGCCACGACAAACTTTACTCTGTAGAAAATCTTAGTTAATGTTAAATATTGTTGTTTTTTTCCATTGAACTTTTTTAGTTGCAAAAATCATAACTTGCAAGTGGATTACAGCAAGTCACTTGATTGTGATTCATTTGCACCATACCTCTCTCTAAAGGCAGCGACAATAGTTCTAAGAAGTGATGTCAATTTAGGAGAAAAGGGATAGATTTAGGCAAACAAAGAGACCAAGGAAAAGAAAATGGATTGATCCAAAACCCAATTGGGTTTTTATTTATTTATATAAGAATAAAACCCATGATAAAACCAGTAGTATATCTACTATTAACCAATAAACCATTTAATTTTTAAAAATGAGGAGAAAAAGGCAAAGAAGTGAGTACAAGTAAGGAAAATGAAAGAGATCCTCCTAAGAAGGCATAGAAGAAACCAGCCAAACATGTTCAAAGTTCTGATATTAGTGTTACCTTAACAGTGCCAACCAAGAAAACGTGTTTGTAAAACTACAATCATTTCCATTGCAATATGTCTATAACAGTCAAAACTTAACGGTAATTTCATAACTGTTCCAATCCAAACTCAATGAAACAGTCCAAACCCATTAATGCTCATGATACTCACCAACTATAAGATTTTAGTATATCTGAAAAACAATGAAGATCAAAAATTATGGTTATATCTTTTAGTCAATTGCCCAAGTGACCATGCTGCCACACGTATTAGAGATTGCCAGCCAAATAATCGTTCAGCCCAAACACCAAGGGCTGTAGTCCAGTGGTACTTCCTTGCATTTCAAAGGGAAAGGTCCAGGGTTCAAGTCCCCATAGAGGCATGTGGGTGTGTGAGTTTCTTGCTAAGGGGGAAAAAAATCGTTAAGCCCAGTATCCAAATGGTTGGGTTAGCCATAAGCAACATGCAAATTTGGCATTGCCACGTGGCAAACAAAATAGGCAACAATTGGCAGCCAGGGCCACCACTTGTCAGGATAACCATCTCCATATCCCCCGCCCCCAACACCCAGATGAAGATGCACCCAGGGAGGTATTGTACTTACTCCGGATATGGCATCACCCTGGTGATTCAGAATGCACCCTGATACTTCGGGAGCATGGTTAGGGGAGCCTACAAGGTGTGGCGCAGATCAACCAGGGTCCCAAGCCATAGCATCGGCTATGGGATGCTTCGAGGTCTTGATTTGATAGCAAAAGTAGGCTAGACAAGGTGGGTCTGTCCTTTTGGCCATGCCCGGGACTGCAACCTTCATCTTGGCCTTTCCAGACAAATAGAGAGAAGTTCAAGTTATAGAGTCTGCAACCCTAAAAGCAGGGACCAAACAACAGGATGCAACTCAAAAACCACGGACCAAACAACGGGCCTGTAGTCCTAGAAATGTGGCCTGTAGGCCAATATTTCCACCAAAAAAAGGGGGAAAGGGAGGGGGAGGGGGGGTTAAGATAGAAGTATGGAGTAGGAAAAAGTGAATAAGTGAATATAAACATAAAGAGCATCAAAATGCATAAAGAAAGTTCCATCACATAGAACAAACCAATCAAACAACTTACACCAATAACATGGATGGAGTGGGAGAAAAAAGAAAGACACTACAAGCACCTCTGAATAGCTCTTGCACCATTCAAGTAAAAAGCAAAGACCAAAAATTTTGCATCGCTATGATCCAACATCATAGAACCAAAATAAAGCACAATTTTTAACCATGTTAATGAAAGAAGGCTCACCAGCTTTCCCTGCTTTTATCTTTTGCTTCTTTCTCGTACTTCTGGATTGTACGATCATCAACCTGACCGCTAAGGAATAGTGTCTGGCCTCCAATAGTGGACTTACCAGCATCTGGAACTCACATGGGAACATAATGAAAGCATGAGAATTTATTTATCTAGAGGAAAAAAAAAAAAATTTGAAGAAAGAATCAACCAGCCAAAAATTAGACTACTAAAACCCAACAAATTCCATTTATGTTGACCAAATTTGCCTCGTTGATCTTTGCAATTACAATCCATTATCAGTGCCAACTGAGTATGGGAACTTGTTACAGTCGAAATTATCCTGATTTCATCGAACTGCCTTTTGCATTTCTCTGAAAACTGTTTTATGAGAGCTAAACCAAACCAGCTTTAAAGTTCCAATTCAATGTAATTTATTTGGAAGCTTAGGATAGTTCAAAACCAAATATTTACAAGGAACAACTCTACCTCAAATGGCGAAGAAAATAGCCTATTCGTCCAAATTCATAATGCAGATATAGGGTATAAATAGCAAAGAACTTCCAACTGACATGATCATAAATTCTAGAACGAACATAATGCATAGTTTCTATGTTGGAGTCAAGCAGCTACAAATCCAGGTTATAGAATCAGGCATTTGGTAGTGTGTCATACTTGGTAAATTCATTAATTTGGCATCTGTGGACTGTAAACAACTGACGATGAACAAAACCACTCATTAAGAACTTTCGTTTCTCAAGCCCTTTTCTTACAACTAGATGCACTGCTCTCAAACCTAACACCAAACTCTATTTTTAGGGGTGCACAAGGTTCGATTTGGTCCGATCTTGGGATCAATCAGAACCAAACCAATCAGAACGGTTCCAAAAATACTAGAACCGAACTGAACCAGCAGAACTGAACCATAAATGATCGGTTAGGTTCAGATCGATTCTACAATTTTGTTCTTATATATGTATTTATATATGCATACACACAAATTAAAAACCAAATTTGAATATACATGTATATGATTATCCTATGTATTTTTTTTTATAAGTATATATGATTATCCTCTGTATTGTGTGGTGTGTAGTAAGTTATATTCTCTGCCAATAAAAATCAATCACATGTATTAATATCCTATGTACTGTGGTGTGTGGTAAGAAATATTCTCTACCATTAAAAATCAAATGTGCGTATTATATATATATATATATATATATATATATATATATATATATATATATATTTATTTATTTACTACCACTAACAATTCTTTAATTTTCAGAACCAGAATAGAGCCATTTCATCATAGAACTGAACCGAACTATATGGTTCGATCCGCTTGTGTTTACCAGTTCTAACGGATTTTTGTGCATCCCTATCATGTTATTAACTACCCCAGCTCTAACACCCCTAAGCTCATAAAACTCATCAAGAAGTTGAGCAGCTCTTTCCCAATCAAAATTTTGAGGAATATGAAGAATAAAGTAATCATTGAAAAACATGTCTAACATGGTAAAGGAGATTTCAATTGAGACAATCTAGGAATCATAGAGGGTAAGAGAATATGAAGGCAGCTCAATTAGAGATGAAGATGTCTTCATTCAGCTGAATCAATTTACCAATAGTCTTTAAAAAAATATTGCTCACCAAGTAAGTGATATAAACACGCTAAAACCGAAGTCAGGCCCACAAACCACCGTAAACCCAAAATTTTTAGAAACAACGAGTATGAGAACATTGAAAACCCACCAGTTTTGAGAATGTGTATTTCTCTTCCAAATCCAAAGAGAACGCAAAACCCTCTCTCTTTTCTATACGGTAAGCTTCTATACCTTTCAAGGAAAAAAGAAGTTTCTATACCTTTCATGTATATATTTATCCCTTTCTTTCCAAAATGGGAAAAGATAGCTACAAGAAAATACATAGGAAAAAGAGTAGCTATTAAATGATCTAAGATAAATGAGACTTTGGTTGTTTTACCAAACAAGTCAAGACTGAAACTTCGGGCATGTTTGGCAACTGTTTTTGCTTCGTATTTTGTTGCCAAATTGGTGAAAAACATAAACAAATGGCGAAAGAATGTTGGGTAACATTTGTTCTGTTTGGAACAACGCTGCATCTGCTTTAGAAAAAGGCCTAGAGCTGGAAGCAAGAAAAATATGTTCTCACTTGTTTTCGATACTGTAACTGAACAACTGTAGAAAGATTCTTTTTTAAAAGCCAATATAATGTAAAGGCCATATTTTTTTACAATCTTCCAAACATCTCTCTCTTTTTTTTTTTTTGTTTTTTGGGCTTTGAAACATTGTGCAACAAACTTGGTATGTTTCTATTTTGGATTAAACATTGATGCTGCTTTGTACGAAATCAACGACACAAAAAAGAAACAGCCAACGGGCCATTCACTTTTCAGAGCAGAGTTCAAACACATTTTCATGAGCTTGGCCCAAGCTTAATGAGGCTAAACACGCTCAATGTGACACACCAAGTATTAACAGCCCAACAACGGGCTTGGCTCGGATCAGCCCTGTTTGTCTCACTCATGCGCCTACTGGATGCATAGTGTATTATGGTAGAAAAAAATCAATTCGCAGAAAAATTTTGATAAAACTATATTACATCAAAAGATTCCCGTGGTATACATGAAATGTTTGATAAGCATACTTTTCATGTTTTTAACTGTTGAACTTTAGGTGTTTACAAGCATAATTGATACTCTGACATATCTCAAGCAATTGATATTAAATAAGACTTCTATGCTAACCCATGCTACAGAATACACTAGCTAGCAACCATCTCGAATAACAACAATATCAGTAGCTAGTGGCTAAAATCAATTTTTTGGTAAGCACCAATAAGTTAAATGTTAGACCAATTATGAAGGCCAAAAACCAACCTACGAAGAAAAGATCAACCTACCAACGTGGCCAATAAATACAACATTCAAGTGTCGCTTCTTGTTTTCTTCAGCGTCGTCTTCAATACCTTCTGAAGCAGAGGTTTCCTTCTCTTTCACTGAAATACCAAGTCGAATTATAAGCACATACAACAAAACAACCTAACAACTAAATTTGAGAATAGGCACCGAACATTTTAGCTAAAAGAGTCTAAGAAGTAACATAACACCCATACTAAATAATATAAAATCCCCAAAGTCCAACACACTTGCATGAAAAACACAGTTCACAGTGAAATAACAAACCTTCTGAAGGACCTTTTGGCTCCACCTGCACTGAAGAAGAGTTCACGTGAGTCTGATCCTTCAAATCTGAAACCATGGACAAAGCAGAACACCTTCAGATGATGTTTGTATCAGTTTAACATTAAATATTCCACGATATACATCAGCAAGTATATAGGTAACATGTTTCATGATGAAGTGGTCATCATTTATTATCCCATAGAAGGGAATGGAATCTTTTTCCATTTCATTTTTTTTCTTTTCTTTTCTTTTCTTTTCTTTTTTTTGGGGGAGGGGGGAAGTGGACAGAATTGGAGAAATCAAGACGAGAAAAAAACAAATTGAGGGAAGACCTCTCAAACAATCCCAAGCTGGCAGCACTGGAAAGCAAAATCACATCTAAATAACCCCCAGCATAGGTATAAGCACCATATATGGGCAAGTTTGAATCCTTCCAACCTTAAGTGAATAACCTTCAGTTGGTTTTTGGATTGATTTGAAAATTTCCAACCAAAGCACTTGCTAGGGATAAAGTCTCTAACAACTGAACCTTACAAAACTGAAAAAAATGTATTAATTATATTATGACATACTTCATTATAAAAATTGTTTTAGTATATTTCAAACTAATATAGTTTTTACATCCTCGAGAATATTCAATTGACTAGGTCAAGAAAATATACTTTTAATGAGCCCACATGTCAATTTACAGAGTATTACTTTTAATATGTACTCATTACGCCATAGATTGTACTGCAATGCATAACACTCACTCAGATTGAGTTATGTCAACAATTACAAAGAGACTAAACGCATACATATCACAATAAATAATGCAATAAAAAAAGATAAATAATGCAATAAAAAAAGACCAGTGAGCATTCAATGGTAAGTTTGCAAAATATCTAAGAACCGAATTGCTCAGATCTTATAAGTGTGCGGGAACAAATTCATAAGTAACTTGTGATATATGCCATATGGATAGTAAGATTTTTTCACTCTGACACAACTCACATGACCGTAGGTACTATAAATCAAGTTTGAAGGGTAACAATTCACCATGTTTTTCAAGCACAAACCCCAGCAAACTGGAAAACAATATGAAACCCTGCGTTAGCTCCTCCTAAACATACTAAAACCACTTAAGAGGGGTAACCCAATGCAGGAGACTCCCGCCACTGCGGGGTCTGGGAGGGTTCAACGTACACAGCCTTACTTTTGCAAGCAACAATGGAGCAACCTTACCATTGCGCCAAGGCCCACCCTCACTAAAACCACTCAAAAAAGCTCCGCAAAAGTGCGCAGTGAGAAGAGAGAAATAACAAATATTCCAAAGCTCAGTTCCTCTCAGAAATGACAACAGGGAAAATACATTTGTTGTCAACTGTTCAAGTATGAATTTCAAGGCATTTGAATGAAAAGTATATAAATACATAGATATCTTACTGTGCAGTTGAGCAAGTGTATTTTAAGGTTTCATATGACAAAAGATAAATTTTCAATAAATGGCAACAGATACCCAATTGAAAAATGACAAAGCTACCCACCTATTTCCATGTTATCAGTTTTTTCAACTTCTTCTGGCTTCGCATCTCCCGGTGTCGCATCTCCGGGTGACATATTATTATCTTCTGCTAGACAAACATTTAAAAAGGAAAAAATCATAAAATAGCAAACGTCAACTACTTACAGGTAATAGCCAACAACAACAGCAATAATACTAGATTCGAGCAATAACAATTCTCAACCTAATGTTTTTTATTTTTATTTTTCGCAGATGATGATTACAGTGCTTATGATGATAATATGCTATTAATAATGATAATTCAAACAATACCAGATGAATCAAGCTGCAACGAGCGAATATCCTCCTCGATATCTATAAGAAAAAGAAAAAAAAAAATAACAATAAAAATAAGTTAGTGCGGGCAATTCTGAAAATTCACTAGTAGTTCTCACGGGGATTATGCTCTGTTAGATTGCCGAAATTGCAGGAAAATTCACTGTCCGACGCTTGACAAAACAAATATCACCACCAACCACCACAGTAGACTAACAAAAATAAGATCCAACCGAAAACAAGATGGATCAAAATTAGAGAGATGGATTGAGAAGCGAGGACGTACCCATCGAGAGGCCTTGAGATTCAGTAAAAGACGCTAGGGTTTTAGAGAGAGAGCGAGAAAGAAAGAGGGGTATTTTTCTCGTTTTGTCGTTGTTTTATGGTTAAACTGATGAGAAATTTCTTTTATCAAGTGAGAACAACTTTTTTGCCCTTCAACGTGTCCTCTCAAAAACGAATTTACCATTAAAGGCTGTATATTAGCATGTAACATATATTCTTATTAGATTCGACGAAAATACCATATAGGGATCATTCTCTAATTAAGAGCTAAAAATAAAAATAAATAATTACAGAGATAATATAAAAGAGGTTTAGATCAAATGTGTTTGATTCTTACGTTTGATTGGTCTATTCCCATCAGTTCTAAAATTTTCTGTATATTATTTTTCATTAAATAAATCATCATATTCTACAAAACTTGATGAGACTGACCATCGACTAACTAATGATTATTTATGAAAAAAAAATAATAATTGGATATTATAGTCATTTAGAATTTGTTATAAAAGTACTGTTAGTAAAACGCAGTTAAAGACTTAGTGACACAATGAATAAAGTATTTTTTATACTTAAAGCGTGTTTAAATGTGTTTTGTAATAATATTGCTTAAAGCACTTTTATTACTAATTTTACTATATTACCCTTAGACTAAACATATACTAATTTCCTAATATTATAAATAGGGAAAATTATATTTTGGTGACCAAAATTAAACATAATTGCTCTATAATGACTTAAAGTCAAGAAAAGGTGAATAGTGACCAATGTTAAAACTTAATTAATATTAAGTGACTATTTAGGGATAATTTGGTCAAAAACACTTAGAGATTTGATAGACATTTTAAAAATAAATTTTAGATGACAAAATTGCTGTACAAATAATAAGTCATTGAATTCATCCTCCTACACTCTCTCTCTCTCTCTCTCTAATCTAACATTTTCTTTTTTCCTTTTTAGTTTACAATTTACCAATTTAAAAAATTAAGATTTCTTTATCAACATTATCTATTTTCCACCATTTATCTATTTTTCAAGACTCTCCACCACGAATGCTCATAACATTTACAGTGGCAAATCATACTTTTGAAACACCCATTAACAGTTGGCAAAATTATGAAATTAATCAACAATGGTCATTATTTCTTAAACTATAACCAAGTAGCATTAAAAAATTCCTAAAAATTACAATCTTATATCTTAAGGAAGATCTCTCAAACAAATCAATTTGTAAAGTATAATAACTATACCTTGAAAATAATGAATAAGAAGACAATTTTCTCGTTCTGCCTCTTAGAACCTTGAAGAAAACAATGTAGGACATCCATCCTCAGTTCTCTCCCATCTTGGTCTTCTCTTCAGAGACTTACCCTAATAATTTGTTGTCTTTTTGTTAGTCAATTTAAGTAAGTGTTTATTTAGGTTAATGAAGAGGGTAAATTTGTTCACTTACATAATAATATATTATAAGAAGGTTATTTAGGTAATAAATCGTTAAATGGTCACTTAATATCAATTAAATTTCAACATTTTGTCACTTTTCACCTTTTCTTGACTTTAAAGTCACTATAGAATAATTATGTTTAATTTTGGTCACAAAAATATAATTTTCCCTTATAAATATTATAAATTTTTATTGATTTCAATAATTTATTAAGATCAACTTGTATTGGGCTTTAAAAAAAAAAAAATATCACATATTTTGTTTATGATATCGAATTTGTATGGAGTACTAAAATATAGTAAATGAGTTAAACATATTTTAATAAAGATAATTTGTATCTGATTTGGGATGTTCAGTAATAAAATAAGCAAATTTGTTCATATGATGTCTAATAATAAATTTTACTAATGTAATATTTTGCAACATAGACAACATTTCATAAAATAAAACTAAACACTTTAACCACAACTAATAATCTTATTACTTGTTATTTAAGATAATAGTATAAATGTATTATAGTTATTTTAAAAACAAATTACAAATCATAATTTATTAAAAATTAAACATTTAACAATTATACAATTCAGAGTCCCAAAATAAACTGAGATTGAAAGGCTGGAGAGTCCCAAAATAAATTAGTATTTTAGTTTGTTAGAGAGTTCATATTGTTTACTATTTGTTTGTAGAAGGAAAACAAGTGTATTTATGACATGATCAGAAGCCTCACAACTCGTACACAAAAATTAAATATAAATAATCATGGATAAAAAAAATGTATATCATGGTATATAGTTTGGTTCTTTTATCACGTGGGTTGTGTCTTCAATAATACAAGAAAAAATAAAATAAATTATAACATTATTTATAATGATAGGGAAAAATAAACATAATCTACCTTGGTCTAACAATAAAGGCAACTAAGTGTTGACTAGCCGCCAAATCTCTTCTACTTTCGAACGATGATATTTTTATTGGATAAGATGTTGTGGTTCAACAAGATAAGATAACCTTGGTACGATTTGAAAAAGTCAAAGGGTTAAATCATATCTCGGCAAATATGGCAACAAACGGATCTCCTCTGATCTCGCAAATGAACTGAGAGAGAGCGGTTATAAGAATGAGATCATACCAGTCAAACCAGTCAATAAAGGTACGATAAAAAATGATTATTAAATCCCTGCCTTTTTTTTAGACATCCGGTGACTGACTTGATTGTCGGAGAGCTTTTGGCAGGCACCACACCGGTGCCGTCAAGCTTCATCGATCTTTTACTATTTTCTGTACAGGAAAACGGTGCCGTATCGGATCGCGTGGATTTATCTTTCAGCAATTGGTGCCGTCTGTGGGAACGACAATTCCCTTAAATCAATTACTCGGTTGGATATATACACTTACGGTCCGGTATCGCAACTGGAGCAGAAACATCATTGCAGGGATCTAGTTAAAGAGAAGGGTCGGGTGAACACCCAGATGTCCCGAATGACCAGGAACGGCTTGCAGGGTTAGAACTACAGGTCCAAACTCTAAATCAGGGTATGGATCAGTTGATCCAACAAAATGCAAAGATCCTGCAACATCTTATCCCAGCGGAACCATATCTTCCCAATCTGAATGATGGGGGACAACACGAGGAGGATTGAGAAAATAATCCTTCTCACAAGTCCGAGGCAAAACGAAGCCAAGTAGGAAATCGACATAGAAAACCTCGTTCCCCGCCTTCGCGGAATCCCCAGTCTCAAACAGGCACAACCTCTGTGTTAAGGAAAAGATAGAGAAAGTTACCTATTTCGACCTACAGATCGAGGATCTCAAAGCGAAAATGGAAGATGTAATGCAAGCTATGAAAGGGAAAGGTCCTGTCGCCATAGATAACCTGGTGCAGAGGTCCAACTTGCCATTCAGCCCCGCCATTATGAAATGCCCCCTGTCTCGTAAGTTCAAGATGCCCTCGTTCGAAAGCTTCAATAGAACCAAAAATCCCCTCGATCACCTGGAGACCTTTCAAGTTTTTATGCATTTACACGTCATGCCAAATAAAATCATGTGCCGAACTTTTCCCACTACACTTAAGGGATCGACAAGAGTTTGATTCAACAAGCTGAAGCCATGAACCATTAACACATTCGAATAATTGAGTAAAAAATTTGTGAGCCACTTCATTGTAGGTCAAAGGCATAGGAGACCAGCCACCTACCTGCTTACCGTAAAGCAACAGAAGGGAGAGTCAATCCAGAAATACATCACCCGATTCAACACAGAGATGTTGCAAGTAGAAGAGGTGGATGACAAGGTTGCTTTGACCGCTTTCATATGAGGCCTCCAAACCTCCAGATTCTTGTTCGCCTAATCTAAAAAACCTCCCACCAGTATGGCAGAGTTTTTAATCAGAGTGCAGAAACACATGAAGGCTGAAGACGCCATGAATGCACGGAAGGGAAAGGAATAAGAGGACAAGAAAATGTCTGCCCCTCTCACCAAGGATGAAAATGATACAGGCTATAAGAGATCGTTCTTTAGCCAAAGCGATAGGACATATCGTGAGGAAGACTTAGATATGTATACCGATTAACAATTGTCTTACAGTTAGAATTAGCCTTATCAAGTCATTGAAAATAAAGACTAGGGGCATCTCAATTCATTATTTGACATGGAGGGTAGCTTCCTCACGTGTTATTTTGTTTTCCGATAAAGTCACCATCACCAATGAGATCGATGACCCTCAATTTTTACGCAATAAAATATTACGTTTTCAGTTACCTACTTATGTGGTAATATTAAACTCATATTAATCCACTTATCTTATCAAAGGGACGAAAGGCCAACAACACATTAAATGGATAATAAGCTGATTACTCCTTCTACACAAAATGGTGAGATAATTAAAGCTTCCTCCATTTACTAGAGAGACGAGACGACTACCTCTTGTATTAAAGGGGTCACCCTCCTTCAGACTACACCTATTTCCTCCATAAAGGAACGAAGGGTCAACTTCATCTTCTTCCCTCGGTAAAAAGACGAAGGGTTAACTACTCCCTTATTAAATCCCTTATTAAAGGGAGAGCTCATAACGCTCGAACAAATTTACTTCCCTTATTAAAATGGGCAAGAAAGTAATCATCAAGCATACTTAGCTTAATAGGACTTGGCATTCCCGACGCTTGACAAAAATCTAATTCCCTTACTAAAGGGATACAAGGGATGATAATGAGTGTCTTGTATTAAAAGGACCCGGACTGAATGAATCCCGTAATCAATATTCCCGTACTATAAGGGATAGTAAATAAATGTTATGTACTACAAAGACCCGGGATGAATCAATCCTGTAATCAATATCTTCGTACTATAAGGGATAGTAAATAAATGTCCTGTATTAAAAGGACCCGGGTTAAATGAATCCCGTAATTAATATCCCCGTATTATAAGGGATTGTAAATAAATGTCCTGTACTAAAAGGACACGGGTTGAATGAATCCCGTAATCAATATCTGTAATACCCCTAATTTTAAAAGAATAGTCTCGGCATTTTTAATATTTATTGTATTGCATTTTTATTTATTTTATTGTCTTTATTGCATTTTTTTTATTTTATTGTTTTTCATTTGTTTAATTGGTTATTTGAAATTTGAATTAAATTGGTTTTATGTGCATTATTTTGTTTATTTAAATTCTTAATGG